GAAAATTTCGAAATATAATAAATATTACATGTTACACCAGAAAATGGAAAATCATACATACCATGAATCTGAACATCGAAACTAGAATCGCAAAAGTTGTTTTATTACTGCTCTGTGTCTTAAAGAATTTTCTACAAAATACATGTTAGAAATAATACGGGGTATTTTGTTATTGGTATATACTTGCATATTTTGATTTGTAAAATATAAAGGTAGAAGAAATAGCTACTTACCTTGGAAGCATCCATTAACCAATCATTGGACAGAATCACTGCGCTCTCATACAAATGCAGTAAGGTTAAATCTTTAATATTATTTGAGATATGATCATAGCGCGCCGTAATGGGCCTTTAACATTGCGATCATCTGGTATTTGGAGTTCAAAAGAGAAGCTTGGGGACAATATCCCAAGTTCCTTCCAAACAATGAGCACACTTGGACATTTGATGATTGCAAACTTATGCAAAACCGTCAAGTAAGAAGTTACGCTGAAATTGTTGTTTGTAATTTGAGTATCTGCACCATTGTCAAGCTTGTAACCAATTGCAAGGCAAATAGGACGTAATTGACCAACCTGATTTCTCGTAACCGGTCTCAGTACGTGGTTTTCGGCGCCCTGGCATAACACAGAATATCACGGTATTATTCTTGCTATTTGAGCACCGTTAGCTTTAGATCTATGATTTCATTGTTTTTTCTTCATTTTCATGTCTAAGATGCAAGTACCTACAATCTTTGCAGTATTGACTGTATGGGTAGCGCCCTCTCTGGTAACTTCGTTACTAACGTTAGGACCTCCATTAAGGTACATGGTCATAGATAAATTGCCGTCGTATGAATAAGTATACTTTCAGAAATAATGAAGCGTTGCACTGTGGGATATAGCAACGGAAATTAATATTATGACCGCTTCGCTATGATTGCTTCATATTATGCTTCAAACGTTTCATATAATGCCGAGAACACTCAATAATGCCGTGATCGCTTCAAGATGTAGTGACGGCTTTATCTAATCATATGTTTTATTAGACTATGTAGATCTCGCATTATGTAATAAGAAGATCGCGTAAAGTGATCACATGAAATGATGAGGTGGTTAACTTATATGATAGATAGATGGCATTTTACAATGAGATTTGTTATTATATTAATGTGTAGCGCCGTAGAAGGTAGTACCAGTCTTGGTATATTATACACTTTACTCTGATCTGATTACCTCATAATCATCGACGTTGCATTATATTATTTTTGGTAATTATTTTACGATCTCATGTACATCCATTTAGGTAATTGATTATTTTTACATACAACCACAGACAGCGAATTTGCGTATGACGTATAAAGAATAGATAAACGTATTAAATTGGATATGTGCAAAACGTATTTTGTTATCGAGTGTTCAACATAGAACTTGTTGGATGTTAACATAATAACTGCATTCAATGCGGCAAACTATAAACAATTCTTCAATGTATATACGAGTCAAAACTTTATGATGATACAGTCTGTTATACTTACAAACGTGTAAACAGTACCCGGGCACTGCAGCTTACACCGTGACGGAAATGCTGACACTAATGTTATCATTACTTACATAAAGAAATATGACGAAATCACATACTCCTCTGTATAAACAACATACTGTCTTTCTCGTAACATTATTTGATTGCATGTACTGCGATTCACTCGTGGCTTCATTAGTTTAGTAACTGTACTGAGATTATAATTATATTTTTAATTCCGTTTTAATAAAAAGCAGCCTGTCGACTGAGATAGCTCCGCTGTTAGCAATGCACATTTGAATTAAAGAACAGAAGATATCATTAGAAAATGAACAATATGTATAGTACATTGTATCAAAGCAACGTATCTTGCTGTTTTCAACAAGAATTCAAAAATATCACTTTTCACCAAAAATGACAAAAATAATCATCAAAATTAAGTAATTGAAGATATCACCACAAAATTAACAAGGTCCACATGTAATACCTATATGTGTAATATAAAAGCAATCAGACTTGCGGTTTTTAACAAGAAGTCGAAAATATCACTTTTTACCAAAAATGACAAAAATATTCACCAAAATTAGAGAATTAAATATATCATTACAAAATGAACAAATCTGAGGAGGTCCACTTGGATTACCTATGTATGTAATATCAAAGCAGTTGGACTTGCGGTTTTTAACAAGAAGTCGAAAATATCACTTTTTACCCAAAATGACAAAAATATTCACCAAAATTAGAGAATTAAAGATATCATTACAAAATGAACAAATCTGAGGAGGTCCACGTGTGGTACATGTGTATGTAATATCAAAGCAATTGGACTTGCGTTTTTTAACAAGAAGTCGAAAATATCACTTTTTACCAAAAATGAACAAATCTAAAATAGGTCTACATAAGGTACATATACACCAATTATCAAAGCATTCAGGCTTGTTGTAGTTTTCAAGAAAAAGTCGAAAAAGTAAAACGGACACGGACGACGACGGACGACGACGGACAATCACTCATATGATAAGCTCCGCTCGACAAAGTCGACAGCGGAGCTAAAAAACGTTTTGGTCGG